GCACTATAAAAATGTGCTAACCACATGTTTCTGCAGGACTTCAAGAGCTCGCAGAAAGCCACCAGTTCTCCGACAAGATTAATGCGTTTTTAACTGTGGGCGTACCCTTTCCTTAAAATACCAGCGGAAAACCCAGCCAACTTCCACACCAAAGGCTAAGGAGCTCCAGAGGGTTTGAGTTTATCGCCATCTAGTGACAAAAGTCATACACAGAACCTCAGGCACATTGCTTGTGTGGAGCCCCTTGTGCCTCCTGCAGCAACACTAAACCATACCTTGTGGCAGGGAGTTCCAGAGATTACCTTCTGTTCCCTTCCCTTTCAGCTTAGGCAAGCGTTCTGTTCTTGGAGATAAAAGGGAATGCATTTTCAGGGCAGCTTCCCTGTGTGCTGCACAATGATAGGCCTAAGGGAGCTCATTCTTTTTCCCTCCTTTCTCTCTGAGGTCAGTCCACCTCATCTGTCTGCTAGAATACAGACAAGGAAGAGTTAAATACACAGAAATTAATTGCCTCAAACAGGAAAATCAGCAGCAGAATCTAGATATCAAGTCCTTTGTCAGGGTTTATTTAAAACTTCTCTATTTTTCACAGATTTCATTACTTCCTTCAACCACGTAATACCTGATTACAACGGGGCTGTCTCGGGCACAAAACAGGTTTTATGGGTAATGAATAATTAGCTCTGAACTTTCACCAATGTGGGCTGGGTAACAGTGGATGTTCTGTAGGACAAGAAGCAATTGTAGAAGAAAACTCCATGTTTTATTTATTAGCACCAAATAGAACAGAAAAAATAAATGTGTCCTTTAAGGATGCTCATGCACACCAAGGCTCCTGGTAAGGGAGACTTAAAGCTTATGCAGATATACTCTGATCCAATTCCTATTTCACCATAACTCTTAGTAAACACCAGCCCTTCTACAGTAGAACTATGAAAGAAAGAGATTTTGAGAACTTTCCAACATGCTTGTGTAACAGATAATCAGGAGAATCCTTTCACTTCATCCCATCTGCCACAACTCATTGCTCTTGTAGCACATCCTTCAGTCTAATTGTAAATAGGAACTTCAGAAATCCAGCTTGTCTAAGATCCCTTTGCTCACAGTCAGGGCAGCAGCACAGGACTGTACAGCAGTGCCAAGGCACTATACAAGAGCTCACACCATTCCCTTGGGGAGGAAAAGCATACTGCTGTCAGGTCTGCCCTTGGAAAACTGCTCACTGAGATTGAAAGTTTCCTCCTACTGATTTCATCACACTCAGAAAAAAGTGAAATGTAATCCATGTACTTAAATACCCTTTTTTTAATTATAATTACAGGTAAACAGCCGTTACAGATGTGTTTATTGCTTTGAGCTTTTCAGGAATATCTTGGGTGTTTGCCATCCTGCAGGGGGCTTTTTCAAGCCTGCTCGTTTCCAGATGCGCTCCAAATCTTTCTCAAACTTGGCCTAAAACAGAACATATAAACAGACATAAAACTCTAACATAGCTTAGAAGCAACACTCAAGATTTCATCCCTTGTCCATGTATTCCAGGGGGAAACCAGGTAATAACATAGACACAAAGGACTTTTAGCAGGCAGCTTATTCCAAGTGAATTTCTAAGAAAACATACTGACAGGCACAAGCATTATTTTAAAGCCCTGTGCAAAGGAAACTAAGAAGATGGAAAATGAAACTAAGCAAATTAAGAGGATTTCCTCATCATAAAGTGCTCAACACTGCTACCTATGAACCTCAAGAAATGGCATTACAATTAACCCCAATCTGCATCTAGGCAAGTTGGAAATCACCAGAGAATGAACTAAACTGTATTATAGCAAACCTAACAGCTGAAAGGTAGTGGTGAATGAAACATCTGTCTTTCTTCACCCCTTCTATTAAGGGAAGTAAAAGGCTTCTATACAGGAACAGACAACAGGAAGCACTTGAGGATGCTGGCAAGACAGGACAGAAATTAAACCAGTCTCTGTGATGTGACACAGACATATGAATTACCCTTCCACACAAACACTACAATTCCTCTCCATTAGCCACACAGAAGTTACTGTCATGAAGAAAGGTTATGCCTAGTAACTACCACACATACTTGTTTACAACCACAGAGACAGTGTGAATTACAGCTTCTGAAGATGCACAGGTCAAACACTAACTAGAAAAAGCTATTGTACCAGTAAATGCTGAATTCATTAAAGCTGCTGCCGCCACTTCCCCTAAATCAATTCCACTTCAAACCATCAGTTGATACCTGAACCAGTCCCAGAAGCAGGCGCATTTATGTCACGAAACTCCCTACCCTGAGCTTACCTGCCGTTTCTTCTTGCGACCCTCCTTTATCCTCCTCCGTATGAACTTCCTTCTCTTCAGCAGCTTTTTGTACTTGTGCCTATTCATTTTCCTCCTGCGAATCTCCAACACGTTCTTACATTGAACCTTGTTGTTAGGTGTTCCTTCTCCTTCCTCCACATCACCTCCCTCCTCGGCTGGGGGACAGTCATACTGCTGGAGGGGTTCCCGGCCAGCATCCTCCTGAGCATTGAGGCCTTCTGCTTTCGGAAGGAAGTACCTAACTGTGAGCCAGCTCTCCAAAGGGCTGATGGAGAGTTTTCTGGGGATCAGAATCTCTTCCAGTTCAGGGTCATGGGACGGCTGAGCTTGGGCTCCACTCTTGTTCGAGGGCTGCGTGCAATAGTGTGCAGGTGGAGAATGATAGCAAAGAAAGGAAGACACTGACCTGGGCAAACGGTGGCCTTGGAGGAGAAAAGAAGTTCACTTAAGAGGCAGAAGTTTCAAGCAGAACCTTAAAAAAAGCTCTGCCCAGCTCTCAAACCATCAGACAACTGTGGCCAGGATAACCTCCTAGAGGAAGCTGCTTACAAACTACATTCCCATCACAAAAACAAGGAAGGATGTATTTAATTCGACTTACACTGCTATAACATCACTACTAAAACTACATTATACAGTGTTTTACTGTATAAACTGCGTTAGTGCAGTTTGGAATGGGTAGAAGTGAGCAGTTTCCTGTTTTAAGCCTTTCTACTGCTGTGCAATCGCCTTCTAAGCTTAAAAGAAGTCAAATCAGAGCTACACAATACTGACAGAGACATAACAACAGCCGACAAGCACTGCATCCGCAACAGCCTCACTGCTCCTGCCCTGCTTGCTGGGAAGGGAGCAAGCACAGACCCACCCCAACCGAGCAAAGCACAGGAACCTGGACCACAGAACAGCCACGTACCTGCAATCCGGGAAGCCCTCAGTAACTGGGAAGCCGCCTGTGCTATTAACATGCTGCTTCACTCCACGCACTGTCGGAGGCAGAAGGGACTGTTAAAACAAGAACACTGATTCAACGAGGTAAATACGTTTCCAAAGCTCCTCCCCATTACCCCACTAATGGCGGGCTGAGGCACCTGCAGCACCCTCCTCACTTCACAGCACACCCCTCGGTTCTGCGGCAGGGGCCTACCCCACAGGCACCGCTACAGCCGCGATTAATAAAGCTTCGGCTGCCCTAGGCTCAAAACCAAGGTCGCTTCAGCCGCAAGTCACACACACGGGGGGGAAACGGTGCTTCCATACCACAAAACCGAGGGGAAACGAGGAGCCCGTGGGGCGCAGCCTAACGAAGGGCCAACACCGAGGGGGGCCGCATCATCCCCCCCTCCACAGCCCCGCCGCGGCCCGCACCGCCGCTCCCCTCAGCCCGCGGCCGCCATCACTCACCGGCCCACCCGCCTCTGCCCCGGAACTTCCGGCCGCGGCCGCGCAGGCGCGGAGGGGCCGGGCTCGGGGCACAGGGGAGGAGGGAGGGCGGCTCCGTGGGCGCTGGAGCGAGGCCGTGTGTGAGCCCCGCGGCCCTCACAGCAGGCAGAAGCCCCCGGACGCGCTTGGGAGGCTGTGGCAAATAGGTCCTGCCGGCCCCGCAGCCATCTCCGTCTGAGCCGTGGGGTTTGTGTCCGCATTCCCCGCAGCCAGGTGCGGGGAAAGCATGGAGACGGCTCCAGCGAGATGATGGAACGGGTTTCCAATGCATCAAGGGGCCATGGGGAATCTGGAGCAGGCGTGCAGTGATCAGAGAAGGGGAATGGCTTGAACCGGCCCGAGGGGAGACTGAGCTGAGCTCTTAGGCAGAAGCTCTTCCCTGTGAGGGTGCTGAGGCGCTGGCACAGGGTGCCCAGAGAAGCTGTGGCTGCCCCATCCCTGGCAGTGCTCAAGGCCAGGTTGGACACAGGGGCTTGGAGCAAGCTGCTCCAGTGGAAGGGGTCCCTGCCCGTGGGGAACTGGATGAGCTTTAAGGTCCCTTCAACCCAAACCACTCAGGGGTTCTGTGATGACTTCTTTTCTACACCCAATTCAAACTAAAGAGTTCAACAAGCTTGCCCCTTACCTGTTGGGTTTGGCACCCTTTGAGATGGGAAGTCAATGGCTGGCAGTTGATAGCACTGCGTGTGGCTCACCTGCTCAACCACAGCAGCCCATCACTGAACCCTCGTATGGGAGCGCAGTGTGACAAGCAGTCATGGGTGAGGCTTCATATCCCTGTCAGCACGGGGATGAGCACGGCAGACAGCGCTCCATGCACACCCCAGGGCAGGTCTGCGGGTGGCTGCTGTCCAGGAACAGCCCCGCCTGTCTCTCCCACTTACCTGGCTGCTGTTTGTCTTCCCTGAGTGGTACAGGAACCCACCGCCTTGGCGCAGCATGAAAGTGCCTCATCAGCTGGCAGGGGGGAGCGATGCTCAAGCCAACCCCAGACTTCAAAGAACCTTCTGCTTTTATACTTACTCCCAAGCAGAACACAGGGCGCTTGTTCACCAGCTGCTTTGAGGAGTTCAGGCTAGAACAAGGGTCTGCCTCAGCTTCACGTCCACCCCACCACGTCAAACCCATCTAGCCCCAAGGGTGAGGGTTCCTTCCTGCAGTGTACGTTTCTCTGGTCAGGGAACAGAAGCCTATGTGCAGACAAATGAAGGGGTTCACTAACCAGGCTGTTTGTTGAAACAGGGCTTTATTGAAGACACCTCAGAAGTTTATGTACAAAACAGCATTGCCACCCCCGTGTCAGGATGTTAGTCACCCACTGGGAACAAAGCAAGTGCCTGGTGTGTGCTCTCAACCCGGGGACACGCAGAGGTTGCTGAGTTTAGAGAAGTACCAAATCCATGTAGTTTAGAGCTGGGCAATTGCAGCCTTGGCTCCATGAGGACTGAAGAAAACCAAAGAACCTTTCCCAGAGCCATGTCTCCAGCAGACTGGAATCTGACAGCATACACTGGGCCTTACTCTGAGGTCAGGTCATTTACTTCTGCAAAGGGTTTGGAAGTGATGAGGAACCAGCCCCTGGATCTAACTTGCTTTATCTTCGATCTATTTTAGATGGTTCCATCACTAAGAGCACAGTAGTATTTGCAGGAAGCATTAGAACAGAGCAGTAGCAATACCAAGGAGAAGAGTCAGCCACCTCACTTCCCACATACACCTAGAAAGAGGCTGGTATCCAACTGGCTATTTCAACTAGTGTGTAAGAAAACCCTAAGGACACAGACAATAGTGGCACAGTTAAACAGTGACTGATGTGCTGTTTCTGCAGTGTGCTGGGCACTTCTACCACGGTAGCGTTTCCCCTTGCCAGTCCAGGAAGGATCCGTTCTCCTTTTCACCAAGACGGTCCAGAACAGAGAGGATACCAGGGATAGCCTCTTGCACCTGCATGGGAGCCTACAGCAAATCAAGTTAGGTCATTACAGGGAATAGCTCACAGCAGAGAATCAATGGCATTTAAGGAGTTACTAGAATCAAGGGGGATGTATTTCCATGTTTCTCAAGGGCCTCTGCAGCACATGGAAGGGCTCTTCACAAGGGGTGGGACAACGCGGGAGTCATACTGTCACATTTCATGGGTCACTTACCATGTTTCCACCCATGTCTGTCTGGAGCCAGCCTGGATGCAAAGAAATACAAAGAATTCCATCCGATTTCAAGTCTGCGGCCAGACACCTGGTGATCATGTTCAGCGCAGTCTATGGGAGCGGAAACCATCCATCAGTGTGCTAGCTTTACAGAGCTTGAGCAAGACCTTAAGCCAAGCTAAGTGTCACCTCCCTTCCACCGTGCTGCCAAAGGAAGGGGCAGTACCCGTATCATAGTAACTTATCCAGGCTTAGTGGGGCTTCATTCTCAGAGATGCCTTTTAAGAGAAGCACTGTGAAAGCTCTATCACCCTTAGCTTGCTGCCCAAAGATTGAAACCAACTTATGATAGAAGATAAAGACCCATGTGAAACTGCTAAGGAGCTGTGGAGAAAATAATATTGACATAAGGACTCTGTTTTTCTGCAGTAATCACTACACAAACATTCCGAGTTTGACTTCTGAACAGGGAAAACAAGCACACTAACAGCTTATGAGGAGGTGGTGTAGGAGAAACTGTATGCCTGATCTTGACTGTACAAACCCTGGATGTGACAACCCTCAAAACTGCACCTCTCCTTAGCGAGCATTGCCAGGTACAGCTCAGCACACCTTTTGCTGAGTTATGTGCTTGCTGTCTTGCTTGGGCTGGACAGGAACACAACGAATAGGTTGCACACCTGATGGCATCAGTTCTTCCCTGTATGCCAAGTCCCTCTGCAATGGGTCTGTATGGGAGTCATGATGGAGCCTGTTCTTAAGAAGCTGGCATGCTCGCTCCAGATGTATGGTGTTCCCATTTCCAGCCATATGAGGAACAAGGACAGTTCCTGTGTCAGCCTGTCCAAGAGGTGCTGCACCCCTCACCTCATCATCCTAAGCTCAGAGTGGTCTTTAACTCACCCATTGAGCACAGCCCACAAACCTTTGCTATCCTGTAGGGGTAGACCTTGAGGAACATCTCATTTGCCTGGACGAGTTGCATGGAGGCAGCAAGAGAGGACATATTGATAATAGCAGCTCTGTGGCAGCCCATTCCCGTACTCAGCTGGGCTGCCTTCCTCAGAAGGGGGAGAAATGCCTGCGGAAACAAGAGTTTGTTTCAACTTGGTCAGCTTGCCCTTGGCCAAGGCAATCTATGGAGAAGGGTGATGGCTCCCCACACAAGCTGACTATAGGAAACCTGGCTATAGCAGCCAGCTGTAGGCAGCAAGGACCTTCAGTCTCTTCTGCCCACCTCCTAACCCAGCCAATCCACTGGAGTGACCTTATACCAGGTGGATTTAAATTAAAAGAGCCTTCATAAAATGATCTCTTGCTGCTCTCTAGGCGCACAGTGTGATATCAGAACTGTGTCTGTGCAGTCCCAGGGTGACAAATGCTTTGGTTTCAAGGGGAAAAGCCTCTTCTGGTACCATAAAGCACGTGCCCCCCAATCCTTACCTTGGTGACCATCAGCTGGGCAACCGTGTTGGTTTCATAAATGGTGAGCATTGTCTCTGCTGTGACTTCTTCCAAGGAAGCAAGCACATTGATGCCAGCGTTGTTAATGAGGCAGTTCAGCCCTTTGTCGCCCACAATCTCCTCCACTTCCTTGACTACTTTCTTGATGCTGTTTTCGCAGACCACATCTGCACAGAGGAGCCAACAACAGCCACAGTGTGTGGGTCAGATGCTGTTTGTCGCTGTACAACGTGTGCTAAAGCAAAGCTAAGGCATTAGTCTGAATGGGGACAGCATACTGAGATGACAGCCTGAGGAGGGCTTCACATAGGTTATGTTATCTGAAGATGAAGGTAATGGTTTTCAGTGGCTGGAGGTCATGTACAGCTACTGATCACCCAGGAGACCAGTTCCTTCAGATACACTCACCTGGCTTAGCTGAATAGAATGATATATAAGCCATTTACTCACCCAGCTGAAGGAGCTTGATGTTGCTGTATTGCTTGCTGAGCTGCTGGAGTTCCTAGAAAGAAGAAATCTTTCAGGTTACCATTTACATTGCCATGGCTATTACATAAACCAGCTTGAAATCTGCACCTCCAGCATTGAAACGGCCATTTCTTTTCATAACTGGGCTGCAGGCACTGACACTGCTTTGGCTGCAACCTGCTGAGCATCTTTCCTGAGAGCAAGATCAACTGCCTCAAGAAACTGGACTCTTCATACTGAAGACCACCAGCACGCTGAGTTGGAGTTCTCAGTGTGGGCAGCTCGAGGTGTGCTTGCAGGGTAACCAAAGCTCTTTGGTCAAGCAGCTCCCAGTGCCAGTTACAGCAGACCCAAAGCTCACAGTGCATTCCAGGACAGGAATTCCTCACTTCTTTAAGGAAAGCAGGATTCTCCTGAAGCTCAGCTCGTGCTTTACATCAGGTCAGGGCTATAGGAATGCTTAAGAAAAACCATTTGGAATTAGTGTCATAAATTAGTGGCATTTAGGATGGTTTCCTAGCAATTTTCCCATGGAAATTCTGTTTTCCTGCACTCTCCTTAGCTTCAATTCTTGTACCTGAAGGTAAAGCACACATGAAACCAGTTACATACACAGCAACTGTCCACAAGAGCTATTCCCTCCCTGCTAGATAGCTGTAATTCACTCATCTGCCTACTATCTCTCAGCAGAGAACTGACTGGTGTTCTTGGAGGAAACCAGTGCTATCCTGGTGTTGCTGCTGGACAAAGTGTGTCCAAATTCCAGCTGGAATACTGACGTTTCTGTGCCATGTAGCCAAGTGGGAAGCGCGGCCAAATGTAACAGATGGATTACATACTCCCAGCTATGTTTAGGAGACTGAGCAACCTGGCCAAACATTCCAGCTCAAGCAGATCCATTTCTTTAGGAGCCCTTTGGGAATAGGGGTCAGGAGGGCTGGTTTTGAAAGAGTACTTCTTTGCCACTTGGAGACACTTCGGGACTCGGTGTCCTCTGTCAAGCTGTAATGCATTACATCCTTTATCTCAGTTCATACTCGGCAGGATTCCCTCCAGGCTTGTTTAGAGAACTTGTTCTCCCGCTGAGGACAATCTACAACTGCAGTTAAGGCCATTAAGGGGAGGGGAAAGGAAGGGGAACGAGTCAGAAGCACAAAACCAGAAGACATTCCTTCCCCTGGATAGGGCTTAATGGGAGAGTTTTCAAGGGATGAAAGGCTCAGAACACACTGTCTTGTTTATCGATAGCCAGGCATGAAATAGTTCTGCCATGTCAAGGCCTGCAATAATTCTGGGGCTTTGGACTGGACTTGGGTTTGACAGCATCACTTACTCGATAATAAACTCCAGAAGTGCTCTGCCTTCCCAAGGTTTGTGCATTTATTTATAGGCACATTGCTTTACTCTCTGGCAGAAACAAGCTACTAACTTGTGCTAAAAGGCCAGGGATGTTCTGTGTAGTGACAGCAGCCGAGAGGCTTCTGAAGTGAGAAAGCAATATGTTCAATTACCAACTCCAAAGAGGGCAGGATTGAGCATTCATCCGGAACATAACCAGCATGAAATTACAGTTGCTGGATGCAAATCAGCTTTCAAATGCAATGATTTTTCCATTGAGTTAATTCCTTGGTTAACAAGTGACTCCCACTTCAGTGCTTGGAGTTTCTCAGAAACAGCTTCCAGGCATAAAACCACCTCAGAGTGCTTTGGTCTTGGGGAACATTATTCTGCCTTATATTAGGATATAAACAGGAGATGAAAATCCAGTCAGGAAACCTAAACACTGCAGGAAAGCCTCTCCTTTTCCCTGCTGTACCTAGAAAGAGCATGCAGGGAGGAGCGCTGAGGCACATTGCACTGCCATGCATGCAGCATGTCTGCATACAGCCCTTTCGAGCCACGTGTGCTGCTTCTCTTCCCCCACCCCAGGTAGTTCTGATCAATGGCATCAAAAGCCTCCTGCATCCAGAGAGCTCTGGAACTATTACTGCAATGCAATGCAATGCAGTGCAGTGCAGCCCATAATGGCAGCACATAGAGAAGAATAAAGGAGCTCATTGGCACTGCTGTTTGAGGTGCAGCTCATGCTATAACGTCAGTTCATGCAGTTTCATGTGAAGACGGCTGACATAACCCAGGCTAAGTCATTTTTAGTTGGAGTAATGTGATAACCAAATTGGAACCAAGCAATACAAACCCAACACCACAACCCCCTCGTAGCTCTGCACCTGGATAGTGCCCCTTGAGAATCCATTCTTAGGGATTCCAAGGAAAAATTACCCTCTGATTAGCATCTCCTTTCCTGCCTGCTGATCCTAACTATGATTAACAAAGAGCCAGCCTAATCCACTTTAAACAAGGCTATCCCAGGTACAGCTCCATCAATACGCAGGGTATTTATTGCTGGATCGCAGGCAGGAATGTTGTCTTTGTCATTTAGCAAGATTTACTCTGTCTTCTTTCTGAAAGCATTATTCACTCTGGTTACAACTCTTGGAAAGGACCTGGCCATCCGAGGCCAGTTGGAAGCAACCAAGCCAAACTAACAGAGCCTGTAGGCAGCTTTGTCAGGCAACAAGCACTTGGGTATCTGTCACATCATCCTGCTCGGACAAAGTCAAAGATGGATCATATTGAGACAGGCTATCCAGTATCACAGTGTACAGCCAACTCACTGCTTGGCTGTGTGGATGCTTACACTGAGCTGCTGCAGACTGCCCAGAAGAGCTAAACCTTAACGCTGTAGGAAGTGCAAACCACTTCCAGAATACAGCAACAGCCCAACACTGCAATAAGCTTCGAATGAGAAGGACCTCAGGAATGCCCCCTTTGCCTCATACAGCCCCTCTGTCTCCTTATAGCACTGCTCTTCCCAATAGCAGCCACATGGCTTAAATATGTAGGAAAGGAAAACCACAACCAAAACCTGACAGAGACAGTGAGCAGGAGCACTTCAGTGCGAGCTCTGTGTCTGACAAGGGAACAGACACTGCACTGTTGGTAACACTATCTCCTACTTCAGAGGAAGGGAAACAGCACATTAAGCCCTGGAAGCCTTCCAGAGCCCAGGAGAGGACTCTTGAGCAGGGAGGAACTGAACGCTTTCTTGTTCACCTGGGAACACACTTGGGCTTGCGGGAGAGCAGGAGGAACAAGAGATGCTCCTGTCCCACACTCAGCTCTCAGCACAGCCAAGCTGAGTACACAGAGTGCTGTGAACTGATTTACACTGGGGCCATTTGGATCCCTTCAGCTACCTGGCTCCCCGCAGGAAGCCATCTCTTCCTTTTACATCCCAGCAGGTCACAGTGGGGACTACAGCATCATTAGGTGCAGCCTGAGACTTCAGGTCGGTCGGAGGGGTTTTCCCACGTACAGGGAAGCAGGATGGGGGAAAAGGAGCATGAAACCAAAGCAGCACGGGGAGGGGAACACAGATGGGTCCATGAGCCATCTGCTTTATAACAACCACGCTGTGGTTTTGTCCATCTGGAGTGCAAAGACAGGACATCAGGAGTGTTCTGCAAGAGGTTTGTAGCTGCTTCGAGCGGCCCAAGCGAAGGCAGCTCCGAATGAAAGCGTGGCTGAAGGAGCTTTCCGAGGAGGGGCAGCGGTTATCTCGATGCGCCTGCAGGCCTGCTGCGGGTTATCGTGTGATCTGAAAGCCATTTGTTAGGCAAATGTTCCGCGGAGGCCACCTAGGAGCTATTCAATGCAAGGAGGCTGAGTTTTTACAACTGCTGCCAGCGCACTCACATGCAAGAGCCTGCAGCTGCTCAGCATTAGCCAGGGTGAGCGAGTTACAGGGGTGCTGCGCTCTGTAGCAAGCAGAGGAAAGCAGAGCCCAGCATCTCTCCCTGAAGCCAGGTCCTCAGGGCTCTTGTCCATCCACTCTTAGAGGACTCCGGAGTATGCGGTTATCTCTGTGTCAGCTACACCCTGAGATTCCTTGGATAACTCGCAGCTCCCAGGGAATTGCTGCTGACTGTCATGCCCTCAATGGATTTGCCAGGAGCTCAGTATATCTCATCACTTTTCCTCTAAAAACCGGCATTCTGCTTTTAAACGGCTTCTTTTTTCTTTTAAACGGCATTCTGCAATAGGATAATGCTATTGTACCAAAGCCGGTGAGAGCAGACTGTCCAAGGCTGCTGTTCTCCAAGTGCAGCCTCAAATCCAGGAGGAATAAAGGACAGTGCGTTCATATTAAGCAGGATATTTTACATGGTCCCTTCCCACAGAGAAGAACAGGAGGAAACAAAAGTCAGCTGCTTGAATCACCGTCTAGAGACAAAGGCAGCACTGACAGCTCAGGTGTGCAGGGAAAGAACAAGTCCCTCAGCATCACCGCCCAGTCTGCGGTCAACAGGCAGGTATTAACCAGGCAAAGCCCATTTTGTGTGCACTAAGACAGTGCCGAGGGAGGGCAGGAACCTGAACTCGGGGGTTTCAGTGCTTGGGAAGTCAGTGAAGGGAAAGCAAAGGAAAGAAGATGGCTGAACCTTTCCCATCCCACACTCAGCATTGCCAGATTGGATCCGAGCTCGGAGGCAGTGGTTGCACGTGGTGCCAAGGCTGCCGTGGCTGGAGGCTCTAGCACGCCTGTGCTTGCCCTCTGCCAGCGAGAAGGACTGGCAGCAGGGTGGATGAAGGGCTGTGCCAGCGCCGTGTGCTGCAGATGGGACAGATAACACCAGCGAGACAACCACAGCACCTTCACTGCAGAGCTCCCTTCCTTGCGGAGCTTCCAAAGCCATCTGTTGGAAATGTGCTTTCAGCTGCCTGCAGAGGTTCCTATTGATGTCCTGCCAAAGCGCAGCACATGGCCTAGAGGTCCTTACAAAGAACAAAAACCCACCCTGATCCACCAAGGACAAGTCTCACCCCCCCAAAACCCAGCCCTTTGGGATGCACCCCATGTGGCCTGCAGAATCGCCACTGGGGTTACTGGAACGCGGCTCTTGGCCAGCTTCCTGCCTACAGGAATCGCGGCTGCCAGAGTCTTTCCAGGTTTCTCCCACTGCTAGTGAGGAGTGACCCAGGCTCTTCCCAAGCACTGAGGGTTATTTCAGCTGCTGGGGCAGGTTTGCCAGCCTTCCTGCTCAAGGTTTTGAAGTGCTGGCAATGAAAGCCCTCACAGAGCTGTGTGAAGCCCAGGTGATGCTTCCTAGGATGCTCTTTAGATTCAGTTTAAGGCAGAAGCTCTTCCCTGTGAGGGTGCTGAGGCGCTGGCACAGGGTGCCCAGAGAAGCTGTGGCTGCCCCATCCCTGGCAGTGCTCAAGGCCAGGTTGGACACAGGGGCTTGGAGCAAGCTGCTCCAGTGGAAGGGGTCCCTGCCCATTCTAGGCTCCTATGAACCATGCTGCTCCTCCCTGCCATTGATGCATGTCCATTACAACGAGAAATCACTGCTGAACACGAGGGCCACTTGGTGAAAAAGCCCCTCCCTCAGCACGAAAGCAGCTTTAGAACAAACAAGTGAGCAGGGAGATTTCTATCTCACACCAGGTCCGATGTCTCCGCTGGTTTCCTGCGCCGCGGCTGCTCTGTGCCGGGGGTTGTGCAATCACCAAGAGGAAACACGGCTGGGACAAGCGCCAGAGCTTGTAACAGGAGTTAAAAGCAACCGGGATGGTGAATACCTGTGCAGGGGCTCATGGAGCACAGAAGGGGGGAAAGGGGGGGCTGCAGGAGCCTGCTGGACTGTTTCTCAGCAAGTCCATTCAGAAGCATCCTGAACGTGCCTTTGTGCTGGAGAGAGATTCGGACATGAAACAAAGCTGTTTCCCTTCAGCTCTGTAAGCACCTGCAGAGCAGCACAGGGCTGCTGGAGGTGGGAACTCAAGCATGACCTGCACTATAACCTGTGAAGGAGAGGGACTTGGGACAAGGGATGTAGGGACAGGCCAAGGGGAATGGCTTGAACCTGCCCGAGGGGAGACTGAGCTGAGCTCTTAGGCAGAAGCTCTTCCCTGTGAGGGTGCTGAGGCGCTGGCACAGGGTGCCCAGAGAAGCTGTGGCTGCCCCATCCCTGGCAGTGCTCAAGGCCAGGTTGGACACAGGGGCTTGGAGCAAGCTGCTCCAGTGGAAGGGGTCCCTGCCCGTGGAACTGGATGAGCTTTAAGGTCCTTTCCCACCCAAAGCACTGTGTGGTTCTAAGGGGGAGCTCACACCATCCCTGAGCACTTCCGTGCCGCACTGAACAAAGTTGTCAGGTTTCCTCCATTGCCGGCACGGTGCGATCAGAGGGCTCCCACACTGTGATTCCCGACAGAACGATACCAGGCTGGAAGCTCTGTTTACATCCCTTCGTGCCAGGGAATTCTGCTAAGGCAGCCTCGTGCCGTGCTTTAAATCATGCAGAGGCTTTTGGTATCAATTCTCAATGTAATGGGTATCAAATAAGCTTCTGGGATCGGTTTTCCTATGGATGTTGGGTGTTTGAGAGAGTCATTGTTGAGAGCTCAGACTCCTGCAGCTCTGGAGCCCTAGGGCTTTGCTAAGAAAGGAGGAGGAGGGTGATACCTGCGGGCATTGCCGTGCTGCCCTGCAGCATCCTGCCCCACTGAGGAGAGTCAAGCTCACATTAGAGATAGAGCAGACGAATGGCCACAAAGTGAGCAGACCCATAGCCCTCATTGATTTGCCTCCCAAAGGCTCCTGGAGTGCCCTTAATCCGCCTGACAATCATTCCTAACAGCGTGGGGATGGGGCAGGACTCCGAGCTGCACTGCTGTAGCAGCAAGAACGAAAGGGCAAGGGGGTGCAAGGGAATCCACCACCAGCAGCATGTAACAAAAGCCACTGGATCTGGTCCCTGCCCAGCCAAGAAAGGCACTAAAGGGGTGTTTAACTCGTCATTCATTGGGGCGTTCTCACTCACTGCAAGTCAAGTGGAGAAAGGGGGGAGTCAGACAGGGCACAGCCCCTTCTGGGGCACAGACCCCGTGCAGAAAGGACAATGGAAGCTGTAACGGGTTGCACTGGGAAGGATTTCGGAGGCGTGGAAGCAGCGGCGCTTGGGATGCCTGAGCGGGGGTTCCCGCTGCCCTCGGGAGCGGGCGGCAGCATCCCGACAGCTCGGAGGCTCCCACAGCACCAGCTCCATCCCATCCATCCCTCCATCCATCCCGTCCATCCACCCATCCACCCATCCATCCCCGCACTTGCTGCCGGGACCTGCGCTTCCAGCAGTGCCCCCCCCCACGGGTACCACTTGACCCCCGCGCTGCATCCTCCCCTCCGGGGCAGGAGGGCTCCGGTGCCCGTAGGGCAGAGAACGGCCGCAGCCCCTCCCGACGCTCGCACCCCGCTTACCTGCGCCTTCTCGGGGTACCGGCAGGTCGCGATAACGAAGTCCGGGGAGGGGCTGGCGGCTGCGAGGCCCCGCACCAGCCCCAGCCCGATGCCCCGGCTGCAGCCGGTGATGAGCACGGAGCGGCAGCGCGGCTGGGACATGGCTCGGCTCGGCTCGGGCTCGGCTCCGCTCCGCTCCGCTCCCGGCGCTGCCCCACGCGGTTCTCAACCTGCGCGGCGCGGACCCGGCACCGCCGCCCCGGTCCCGCCCCGCCCGGCGCCTCCCACCGCTGCCTCCCGGCCCCGCAGCCCCGGCGGGCGGGCACAGCCGCGGAGAGCTCGGCTCCTTCCTCTCCCTCTCTCGCAAAGGGCACAGCGGACCCGAGCCCCGCCAAGCGCTGGGGAGAGCCTGGGCTTGGCACAACAGCAGCGCCGGACACCAGCTGGGACCCGGCCCTGGCTCCATCCTGCGCTCAGAGACCCGCAGCGTTCCAGGGTTGTCACAGAGCCACAGAGTGGTTTGGGTTGAAGGGACCTTAAAGCTCCTGCAGTCCCAACCCCTGCCACGGGCAGGGACCCCTTCCACTGGAGCAGCTTGCTCCAAGCCCCTGTGTCCAACCTGGCCTTGAGCACTGCCAGGGATGGGGCAGCCACAGCTTCTCTGGGCACCCTGTGCCAGCGCCTCAGCACCCTCACAGGGAAGAGCTTCTGCCTAAGAGCTCAGCTCAGTCTCCCCTCGGGCAGGTTCAAGCCATTCCCCTTGGCCTGTCCCTACATCCCTTGTCCCAAGCCCCTCTCCAGGTTTCCTGCAGCCCCCTTTAGGCACTGGAGCTGCTCTAAGGTCTCCCCTTCAGGAGCCTTCTCTTCTCCAGGCTGCCCCAGCCCAGCTCTCCCAGCCTGGCTCCAGAGCAGAGCTGCTCCAGGCCTCACAGCACCTTCTGCTTTGAACAGACTTTGTCTTAGGACTGCTGAGACAACACTGAGAACACCACTGCCCTTCCCTGTGCTCTCCCTCCTTTACTCCCATAGACATATTCGCTCTGCCCTTGGCACTGGATTAGCTGCATTCAGTTTGAAGTCTCACTGCTCCTTACACACCGTGAGTACGGTCGAGCCAGTCTGTTCCTCCTTCCCTCCCAGCAGTGATGGGCAAGGAGCAGCCGCTGCCACTTCAGCTCAGCCTTGCGGATAAGAGGCCGGTTTCACACACGGAGCTTTGGAATGAACGCATCCAGCCATGCACACGCTGTTCATGCTCACACACAGAACTCACTGCACCATACCCAGGGGATCCAGAGCATGTGATTATTGCTCTGCCATATGTAGAAATGAACGTGCAGCTCCATCGCCCTTTGTTTAAAGTGGAGCCACACAATTAGATTCCAGTGTTCTCAGGGGAAAAGCTCCTCATTGTGCGAGGATGGGATGTGGCAACATGCCAGCAGCAGGGCTGCCCTGAACACTGATACCTGAGCTTTCTCCTTCCCTCCAAAGCAAGCTCTGTTCCAGACACCTCTGTCTCACAAACACGAATGCTCTCCTCTTTCCCCAAGGGATTCACCCATCACCACCCTTCCCATGCGCACACTGCTCACTGCACAGCAGTTCTCTGTGCGTTATCTACCACGTTTTGATGGCTTGGGAGAATTTAAAACAAAAAGAAATCCCTGTCAGGCAGAAGACTGCTCAGTCAACCTCTTTGTGCCTGTAATGTATTCAGCCCTCGCTGTCAGCACATCCGAGCGCTGCCAAGCGGAGCTGGAATTCTGGGCATGAGTTAACCCGGAGCAGCAGCACCGGGATTGGAAGCAGACACCCCTCTTAGGGGACAAATGCAGCAATGAGAGAGGGCAACAGTGGAACCGACTCACCCAAGCCACTGGAGACCCCCGTTTGGCTCTTCATGCTGTGCTTGCTGCTGTGACTGCAGTCTGGGATTCGGAGTCTTCTCAGAGGGGAGCAAACAAACTGCAAGAAGAGGCTTTCCTCAGTGAATAAAGCAACCAAAATCCCTGCTGTTGTCTGGATGCTGGAGATTCAGAGCTGACACATACAGGATCCCATGTAACGCTTTACAAAGCTCTTATTCATAGAGCTATAGAATGGGGTGGAAGGGACCTTAAAGCTCATCCAGCTCCAACCCACTGCCATAAACAGGGACCCCTTCCACTGGAGCAGCTTGCTCCAAGCCCCTGTGTCCAACCTGGCCTTGAGCACTGCCAGGGATGGGGCAGCCACAGCTTCTCTGGGCAGCCTGTGCCAGCGCCTCAGCACCCTCACAGGGAAGAGCTTCCTCTGCTTTTATAGATGGGAGAACTGGGACACAGTCACACAGCCATACGTGGATTCCCTTCCACCAGCTGGGGTTGAGGCTGTGCAGCCCCGCTCAGGTATTCTCACTGTGTCCTTTCCCTTCACCTCGCACCAAGTCCTGCACACTACAGCTCCTCAAGCCCTACTTGTGTCTAACTCTTGAAGCCAAGGCTCTTTTAACCACGCTCGGAGAAGCCAAATTCTTGTGCTGTTTATCTCAACCCGAGTTGAGTTGGAGGTACCAGCAGCAGAATTGCTTTGCTTAGTAATTCCTCACCTACATTTCAAGGCAATAAAAACAAGGGTTGCTTGGCAACTCTCACGGAGGACTTACCCAGCAGGACAATGGAGAAAATCCTCCTTTTCTTTCGGGTGAAGCAGCGCCCTCCAGGAATTGCTACTTGGAGTTTGTGTACTGGAGTGAACTCCCTTGATTCAGCCCCTCTTTGGCTTGGGTCTGGCTCTGTGCAGGACGTGATGCAAAGCTAGTTTTGATCATCTTTTGAGGGCTCTGGCACTTCTTCCATCCAAGAACATCCCAGAATATTTATAGTGTTTGTGGAACTATAAATTACCCTTAGAGTGATAGGCTGGAGGCAAAACAAGCAGAGTAAGGTTTAAACCAGACACTCCCTCTAATGAAATGGCTTTGAATCACCAATCCACAGCCTTCAGGTCAGCAGGATTCCAGACCAGACTGGGACGCTGGACACAAGAAGAGCATCCTCTGCCATAAACCAAAGCCAGGAGCTGCTTTGGTACTGCAGACGTGGCTCCATCAGAGGTGGCAACAGAATCCAACCCTTCTTTGGTCATCTCAACCACCAGATTTTTGGCTCACCCAATGGGGGATCTTTCCCTCTTGGGCATCACCTGCCTGGCATGGGCTGTGCTGGAAGTTATTCCATACCTGAGGAAGTAGTTCTCACCTCAAAAAGGTGAGCTTTGCTGGTTGACCCTCTGCTGATACAAATGCAGACCTCCACTGCTCACTGGACTTACAGCCGAGGGGTCCATTGTGGAGGAAACATTAGCCAGGAAGCCTGAAGCATGACTTCCCAGAAGGAAGGAGGACTAGGCTGTGTCACAGACCAGGGAGATGGCTTTATCTGAGCCAAGAGAAGCACAGCTTGAGTCTAAGTCAGTTTTCAGTAAGCATTGTCCCTTCAACGCCAGATAACCTCTCTCCAGCCATAAGGAATTCCATGTGAACACCAGAGATCAACAGAGGAGTAACCCAAGGGATTCTGATGGGAAAGAGCCACGCTGCAGCCTTCAGATGTTCAGAAAACAGGAGTCATAACTCACCTCAAAAGCTGAGACTTGCATATGCATGCACAGACATAAAACCGTGGTGCTGCTTAAGCTTAAACTTCATTTCAGTAAACCTAAGCTCCAACCCGATACAGGCAGATTTCTGTGGGTTGTAACCACCACAACTAGAGTTGTCCTCTTGCTTTCTGAACCTTTTAAGTTCTAGTTGCTTTCCTAGTAAGTGGAGCTGAATTAAAAGGTTCAAAAAGCAGGTTCTTCACCATAAGCTCCCTAAGAGCTCACGTGAAGGATGCCTGCCTGTCCTATGTCATGGTTAGGGCATAGACTGCCACACAAAGCCCCCCCAGTCCTGCCAGACCTCAGTGGTTTTCATCACTACCACTCTCAGATGTGCCTAAGGTGAAGGCTTCTCTAACAAAAGGCAGCCCTGTTCCCTTCAGCTCTGTAGGAAGCACTGGGGAAAGCAACCAGCAGATGTGGAGAGAAAAAGTAGGGTTGTAAGAGGGCACTAAGGGTACGTGAGGAACAACCAAATGACTTCACATTGGGCTGATTCCCGTGTTTTTTTCCAGGCTCTTTTAGCACATTGGGCCCCATCATCCACCTGACGCCTACCCCAGGAACAGTGCTTACAAAAGATGAAGTGAACAAGTGCTAACTGGTGCCAAAGAGAAGAGAATGCTCTCGCAGCTCCATCCCTGGGCCTTGTGGCTTGCTGCCTGTCAGCAGCACACACTTCCTGAGTTGTCACAACAGTTCCCTGTGGCTGGCTCCCAGCAAACCCACCACAGATGTTCATCCATTTGGAAGCATTTTCACACCCCAGGAGCAGGCAGCTTGCCCATTTCAGTTCACGTGCCAAGGAGCTGAGCTCCTCCTGAGCCACAGCTCTGTGATGGCCCAGGGATCAGCTGGAACTGCCACCTCTGGGCTTTGTCCATTATCACCCACGTTACCAGGACCAGAAATTCAGCCATCAGCTGTTTTAAGGTGGATAAAAGGCACCTTCCAGCTCCCAAACCTTTGTGGACTGGTGGATGTTGTTTGGGATCAGCTGGAGAGGTGCCCAAGCACAAAGTGCCCAAGATTCCTGACTTCAAGGAATTCAATTCAAAGGGCCCCAAGCTGACTGCTTTGGAATGGTGATCCATTTATTCCCTGAACAAAGCTTGACACTCAGGTGTAAGCACTCAGCACAGTAAATGCTGAACAACAACTACTTGTTTGTAAATCCCCACTAAACACATGCAATAGCTCTTGAATCTCAGCTTTTCCAAGCAGTTCCACCTTACACACCCCCTAGTTACTGTAAGGATCTTCTCCAAGCCCACGTCCCTGCCAAGACGTTCTGTGCAGCTCTCTGTACCAGGCTTTTTGCTGGTAAAGACAGATTGTTCTCTCCTACAACAGGACATCTTTTAAACCTGTAATAGAATCCCTTTTGTTTTGGAACAGAATCACTTTAATGTAAAAATATACCCACTTCCTCCCATTTTTTCCTCTCTAACAGATGTACTAGAAGGCAACCACTCCTTACTCAGAGCTGTACATGAGCACAGTAGTTTATAGCACAC